CTGAGGTCGGTGACTGGGTCAGCCGACTGTCACCTGGGGCACTCATACCCTGACCGCCTGGGCGGCAGGCAACTCGGAAAGTATGCCTGGCATCTTTGTAAGGGTAACACGACACAAAATCAGGCGGACCAGGTAAGCCGAGAGCACGTCCAGCAGAGGAGAACCTAAGCCGAGTGAACGACCGTAAGCGGCACGACCGTACAATACCGAGATCTCTAAATGAGTCAACAACATCAAGACAAGGGACGAGAACGTCCCTTTGGGAGAATATTAAATTTGTAAAGGTAATCGGGCTCAGGCAAGGACTTGAAGCTACAAATTTGAAATCTGAAGAGCAAATGTTACACGCAGACGAATTTTGTGACACAGACGCTTCTTAAATTGCTGTCTCTAGGAATTTCTGGTTGAAGTAAAAGTTCAGGACTGCTATCTCAAAGTAAAAAAATGAGTGGTTCACGACCAAATGAAACACAAGGGGTATAAAACTGAGCCAGATCTGCAGTCCTTCATTTATTGTAGCAAAGACTGGAAAGCACAGACGGGTGAGCATTAGCTGCGTTTCAAAGTTGTTCTGGAGGGGAGCTTGTTTATATCACATTGTTTGGAACTTTGCACCATATCCCAGAGAAATCTTGTCTTTTTGATTTTTGACATGCTATTATACATATTGGGTATTTTAACCTAGGTTTTAGTATATTACCCCAGCAAAGTAAAGCAAGAGTGAAGAAAATAAGCACAAAATTATTATGCACCAGGGTAAGGAGTGAATTTGCAAGACTAAAGAAATTTTTCTTTTTTACTAGCACATCAAATTAACATAAATAAGAAAAGCCTAGCTAGAAAGTGGCTGAAAAACAGGACTGGTGAGATGACCAGAGGGTAAGCCAAAGTCTTTCTCACCCTGAATTTACAACAGTCAGGTCTTCTGCCACCAAAGCTGAAAAACTGCTCCATTCTAGAACCCACATTGTGGGAGAAGAGAACCAGCTCTTTGGAGCTCACACACACACTAGCACACCAGGGCTTTTATCCGGAGTTTCTCACAGTTAATCAGTGACGTTCATCCGTACAGATGCAGTCCAGTTTCAAATGTTAAAGCACCACATATCTTTGTGGCCATCTATGTGATGTTCTTGACCCTGACTTCTTTGGGGAACTGTTATTACAAATGTCTCATTGCCACTTTGCACTGCAATGGACATGGTTAGAGTTTATATGCAGCTCAAATTCCTTACTAAGACGAAAGTGAAAGCATGTACCTGAGTTCTGTTAAATATACTTTTGAGTACCTAGGAGATACATGTTGCTAATCATGTGTACCTATAAATCTTCTCTTCATAAGCCATTTCCCCCCATTCTCTTCAACACGCTGCTCTCCGTAATAAACAAGGATGAAGTCCTCCTGCAGCAGCACTTGAAACATCTTAATCCAGTCGCAGTTTTGCCTGCTGGGCTTTTCTCAATGAAACTGCAAACAGATTTTCAGGGACCTTTAAATTATGTTGCACGGACAATGCTGAAGCTTTTTGATTTGAACTTACTAGTGCATTGGCTATACTTGTATTATCTCCTTCCTGCTGCTTCGAAACCCCTGTCCATTACTTGATTATTTCCCCAAGTTTCAAGTAATTAGAAAACCCGATGGATCAGGTGCTGTGTGAGATGAAGGATACTTACTCTTGTCCTGAAGGATACTTACTCTTGTCCTTGGCTCATTTTGAAAACAGTAATGTCTGCCAATGTGTCAGTGCATTTTCAGTAGAGATTAAGTAAAGGTGCTTTTTCAAAAAAAAAAAAAAAAGCCTAATGACAGCCTGAGTTTTATTCCCAATACTCACAAGATAGAAGTTTGTCTTGTTTTTTGTTTATCGAGACAGGGTTGCTCTGTCTCTTTGGAGCCTGTCCTAGAACTCACCCTGTAGACGAAACTCACAAGAGATCTGCCTGCCTCTGCCTCCTTCATGTTGGGATTAAAGGCATGTGCCACCATCTCCAGGCATAAATGTAACGTTTAAAGTGATTTTCTTTAGGAGTGTGAAGGGATTTATACAGAGTCTACACCTGAGTGCTTCAGATCATTCAAATTGTTACATCCTATTTTTCTCACCTTTAACTTCAGTGTCTCCTAGTCTTTGCCTGACACATCTGTAACTCTTTTATGTGTCTAACATGCAGATTGTAAACTCCTGTTTAAATATTTACTCTTTCCCCTACAAAATGATGTCCACCCAGTACTAACTTTCGCTGGCAGCACCTCACAGCTTGTTCAGGCCTTCTCTTCCTGGCTGGCCCCGTGCTAATATTTTTCTATCAAAAATTTTGGGATTATGTTTCTCCCCTCACGAAACCTTAATGGTTTTGTTTTCTATATGGACACAATCTGAGCCTTTTAACATAGCACAACAAATCTTACTGGGACTGGGGCTAGGTCCCAACTCATCTCATGCTATACCTCATTGAATTCACTCCCCTTCCAATGAATCTTTAAATGGGACGAATTTTTAAATTCATAGGATTCTGGAGAGAATGACTCAAATCATTATAAGGTATTTGTGCAATATAATAAATTCCTTAAATGCATTAAAAGCCAAGTAAGTGTCTGTGAAAAATTCTTGCCTCACTCGTCTCAGAGGTCACTAGTAGTAATACAAGAGCCTCGCAAACACAGCTGCAGGGATATCTGAGCACTTGATGGTAGAGGCAGGAGGATCAGAAGTTCAAGAACATCCTTAGCTACAGGAGACCCGCCTGTGATATGAGACCCTATAAAATAAACTGCAATGGCAAATTTCTGTCATTAATCTTTCACAAAAACCCCTTAAGAGTGTTGGGGAAATTGTGGTACACACCTCAATTTTGTCAGCTCAGCCTGATTTGAAATTCCAAAAACTTTAGTATTATTGCCCTAATTTAAGGTATATTTGATAGCATTAATTAATGTATAGCTTGATTGGTTATATTTGTATATTTGGTTATATTTTATTGTCAAAATTATGTCTGTTTTGAGTAAGTTAAAATACTGATTGAAATTTTACTTTTAAGAGTTTGCTTAATGATTAAGAGCACTTGCATTTGGATCCCTATACCCACTTGGTGGCTCTCAAAAACCCACCACTCCAGTTCTAGGGTATCTGACGTCTTTGGGTACCAGGCGTTTTTAGTGTAGGCAAAACACTCATAAACATAAAGTCATTATTTTCAAAAAAGATTATAACTCAACTGTTGTTAGTCATTCTTAAAAGCACCGTGGGCACTGATGATGAAGAGACTCTTCTCTGTTTTCAGTTCTGTTTACAGACCTGAAAGCTGCCCTGTACTGTTGGCTTGTTTATGTTCTCTGTATAGCCCTGGCTGTCCTGGAACTTGTTCTGTAGACCAGGCTGGCCCCAAACTCAGGTGTCTACTTGCCTCTGCCTTCTGAGTGCTAGGATTAAAAGTGTGCACCACCACCCAGCAATCAAAACTCTTTAAAATACAAAGTGATATTTTCTCTTGTTTGTACCTTTTCTACATTTTGTAAACTGCATGCCTTTTGTAACCTAAAATAAATGTTTCCTTCTAGTTTCCAAAACTCTATTAATTTTACTAACATTTGTTTTCAAGCTTATGTCCTCAAATCCTTCAGTTTTAACCAATTCGCTCTCTGTACATACAAAATACTTTTTCAGGAGTCATTTTTAACACACACACACACGCGCACACACACACACACACACGTTTGTACAATAGCACACACGTGGAGGTGAGAAGACACCTTGCAGGAGTCAGTCCTCCACTTCAATCATACGGTTTCCTGAAACTGTGCTCAGGTCATCAAGCTCAGCAGCAGACATATTTTCTCCCTGAGCCATCTCACAAGCTTCTCGTTCATTTTTAGTGCGACTCACTGCTGTGGAACAATCCTTTGTACACTGGAAAGATTTCTCCCTCAAATCAGTTTAGTAAAATGCTGACGGGTCAGTAGCCAGGTGGGAAGTATAAGTGACCACACTAAGGATGATGGAAAGAAAGGCAGAGTCAGGGGACGTCGACCAGACTCAGGAGAGAGCAGGATGGGCACGCTGTGCTGAGGAAAGGTACTGCCACATGGCAGAGCATCAAAAGAAATATGGGTTACCTTAAAATATAAGAGCTAAGCTGGGCGGGGGCGCACGCCTTTAATCCCAGCACTCGGGAGGCAGAGGCAGGTGAACCTCTGGGAGTTCGAGGCCAGCCTGGTCTACAAGAGCTAGTTCCAGGACAGTCCCCAAAGCTGCAGAAAAACCCTGTCTCAAAAAAAGAAAAAAAAAGAGCTAGTTAATAAGCCTGAACTTTTGGCCGAGCGTTTATAATTTATATTAAGCCTCTGAGTCAGTTATTTGGAAAGCAGCCCTGGGTATGTGAGAGAGAAATGTCCAATTACAATTTACTGTAAAAGGAATATTGAAGTGAATATTTGCAAATCTGGATTCCCAGCTTTCCACTTTCTCCCTACTCTCCAAACTGTACTATCCTGAAATCCCTACTCCCAACACCTTCCCAGTTCTCTCATTGATGAATGATCTCTCTTAATTCATAAGAGAACTTCCTCAGTTCTCAGCCATGAGATCTTCAATCCTAATTGAATGTATTATCATGCCAGTCATAATTCTTTTCCTTGTGTTTCTGGTTGTTGGCTTTAAATGTAGCTCATCTTACAGCTCATTCTGTTTTTCTGTAAAACCACAAGTGCTGTGCATTGAATTTACCAGAGAAAAGCCATATCTTTGTTAAAGGTGTGATTTAACAATAGATAGAACTTACTGATTGTGGAAAGCTGGAAGGAATAGTGTGGCTTCAGAGCTAAATTATCTTGGACTAACAGCCCTCTTGGGAGCTATTCAGTGCTTACCTTGGTATGACTTACCAGTCTTGTGATTGTTTAGGAATGTATTGATGGCTCACATCCTCCAACCCAGAAACAGAATGTCATCAGATAACACACAACTCAGACCCATAGCCGAGACTGCTCCCCCTGTGCTGTAATACCAGTGTTTCCACCCCTTTTGAAAGGTACCTTGATTTGTGGCTCTTCTTTTCGTACAGACATTGTCTCTATGTAGTCCCCGCTGTCCTGGAACTTCATAAGAAGACCAGACTGGCCTTAAATGCAGAGATCCTCCTGCCTCTAGCTACAGAGTGCTGGGGTTAAAGGCGTGTGCTACCACACCTGGTTTGTGACATTCTTAAAATACAAAAACTTTGTAAAACTATGTTAGAAATGTTATTTAGGGTAAAAAGAATGACTAGTGAGTATATATTTGACTACCTACAACTTTCTTTTATTTATTTGTTTGTTTGTCTTTTGAGATGGTTTCTTTGTGTAGCTTTGGAGCCTGTCCTGGAACTCGCTCTGTAAACCAGGCGCTGTCTCCTGAGTGCTGGGATTAAAGATGTGCCACCACTGCCTGGCTACAAGTTTGTTTGTTTGTTTTTATAAGTATGAATTGATACATTATTGTATCCTTTGCAGATGTTTTGTTAAAATTAGTAGTTGGTGCTGAGGATGTTGCTCAGTAATAGA